GAAAGACTGGAAAAAAAACAGATTTCTGCAGAGATTTGGTTAAAATGAATTGTTTTGTTTTGAGACAGATCATGCTTTGTAGCCCAGGCTGGCTTGGAACTCTCCATTTTCCTGCCTCAGTCTCCAGAGTGCACCACCATGCTTAAAGTGGAAAGATTATAATTCAAGCCACAATTTGAGAAACATTATCCAGAAACCAGGAATGTGTGCTTTAAGTTTTGTAAAATGACTACACAACTGCAGCTCTACTTCGGAGTGGGAATGAAGTTAACCTCACCTAGAATCTCTCATATACCAAGTGGTGTCACACCCATTCTCCACAATTGTTTCGTGGTGTAAGTGCTATTATTCCTGATTTATAATGAGGAAATTGAAGCTCACATGGGTTTAGTGACTCACACAGATTGCACAGCTAACAAGGTAAGAAACTGGCATTCAAAACTAGGTCTTTAGAGAGACCAGGATCAAAATTGTTTTCACTATGCAATAGCTACTGTTAACAGGCTGCTTTTTTCTCCATGACTTTTAAAAACTTTTTGGTGGTGCTGGGGATTGAACTCAGGGCTCCACTACTTGAGACACCTCCAGTCCTTTGCTTTAGTTATTTTTCAGATAGGGTCTTTTGCTTTTGTCTAGGTGGCCTCAGATGTGGACCTGACTTGTTTTTGAGATAGTGTCTCACTAACTTTGTTTCCCTGGGCTAGCCTGGAACTCAGGGCTCACTACTTAGACACCTCCAGTCCTTTGCTTTAGTTATTTTCAGATAGGGTTTTGCTTTTGTCTAGGTGGCCTCAGATTTGGACCTGACTTGTTTTTGAGATAGTGTCTCACTAACTTTGTTTCCCTGGGCTAGCCTGGAACTGTATCCTGAGTAGCTGGGATTACAGACAGCAACCACACCAGGCCAGTGAACTTCTTAAATATCACAGTGGGAAAAGTGTGGTAAAAGGAATAAAATTAGCTCTGTTACAGTAAATATAAATGGGATTGGGGATGTGTCTCAGTTGGTAGAGTCTCAACCTAGCATGTAGGAGGCTCTGGGTTCAATCCTTAGCACCACAGGGGGAAAAAAAAAAAAAAGGAGAAAGAAAAGAAAATTCGACAAACTTGTAAAACTAGGGACTTTCCAGTGGGACAGAGCAAATAAGTCAACACGGTAATGGAAGCAGTCAACAGTTTCCCTCGTTTTCCTGTGTCCATCCCCCTTGGTGGAGTTCCCAGACCAGTCCAGGGAGAGGTGCCAATTCATGAATCATTGTTTGCTCAACAAACTCCTTAAAAATTGTATTGTACCTCAGCTACTTTTACAGTTCCCCATGTAATTGTCCCTTAATCTTTTAACACAACTCTCATATGGTGTTACTCAGAGCATTTATATTGTTTTCTTTTGAGACCAGGTCTCACTATGTAGCCCAAGCTGACCTCAAACTTGTGATCCTCCTGCTTTAGCCTCCAAGGTGCTGGGATTATTGGTGTGCACCACCACACCCAGTTGAGGATTTTTTTCACTTCCTCATTCTAATCATTCTTACCATATTATGAAAGAAAGAAATTTGACCCTCTCTTCCTGCCTTCCTCCCTCCCTTCCCTCCCCTTGCCAACCCCTTCTTCTCCCCTCCCCTTTCCTCTCCTCTCCTCCCTTCCCTTTTTTTCCCAACCATCCCTGTTTTTCTGGGATAGGGTCTCTCAAACTATTTGCCCAGGCTGGTTTTAAACCTTCATCCTCCTAATCTCTGCCTCGTGAGTAGCTAGGATTACAGGTGTGAGCCACCAACACTGGGTAGAAGGATCTTGAGTTCTAGCTCAGCATGGAGTATAGAAACCCTTTTCAAAACAAATTTTAATTAAAAAAATAATAAATAAGCTCAAAGTAATACTAATAAATTTATCAGTGTAAAACTGACCAATTAGTCGGTTGAGTAAATTGATATTTTGGATTTTTAGTTTTTAGAATTTTAGTTTATTGATCATCTATTTTAAACTTACCCTGCAGACACTCTATCCCTGAGTGTAGTGGTCAGGAGCACGCATGACCACATTCCAGCTCCAAAATGTCCACCTTTTTTTTCACATCTCCTCTGCTGGGCTTCGATAGCCACCTCTCATCTATCAGAAAAGCCTGATAAAATAGTCAGTGTGATACACTAGCATCAGTCCTAAGCTGCTGGCAGCCATTGTGATGGTTACACTGTATCAATGATGTGCTCTTGGTGTCTGTGTTTTAACTTTCTCCACTGTAGTGAAGTCCTGGGATTGGTTCCCAGCACTACAAAAAATAAGGTTAAAATGTTTGGTTTTAATCCAAAAATTATAGACATATATTAAGTAAAAATGGCTGTATGATTCTTTTGGGGTTGTTTTGAAAGTACTGGGGTTTGAACTTGGGACCTTGCTCTTGTAAGATAAGGGCTCTGCCACTTGAGCCATACCCCCAGCTCTTTTTTGCTTCAGTTATTTTTGGGATATGGTCTCACTCTTTTTGCCTGGAGTTATTTGGACCTTGCTTCTCCTATTTTACACTGCCCAGGTAGCTGGGATGGCAAGCATGTACCACCATGCCTAACTGTTGGTGGAGATAAGGACCTGCCAACTTTTTGCCCAGGCTGACCTAAACTATGATCCTCCTGATCTCTGTTCTCCCAAGTAGCTGGGATTGCAGACATGAGTCACCATGTTTGACCTAAAGCCTATAGTTTCTAAAAAAATGCAAATGTGAGTGTAGTTCATGACAAAGATATTTCAAACCAGTTTTTTAAAAGGGGGGTGAGGCTGTAAAAGGAGAAAACAAAACATTTTTCCCTCTGTGCTCTACTTAGTCACTCCATACTTTTTTTTCTTTTTTTTGGCAGTACTAGGGTTTGAACTCAGGGCTCCATACTTGCTAGTCAGGTGTTCTACCACTTGAGCCACTCCCCCAGCCCCATTCAACACTTCTGAAAGAAAAGTGGCGGCTGTTTCCCCACACTCCAAGCAATTCAGCAAATGCTTCTTCAGTGACACCAGCTGGATGTCCTTCCTTTCAACTAGGTTCTGATGCTATCTACCTAAGACAGTGTCAGATCCACAGTTGACAGCTCAGTCCCACAAGACCACCCCCAGCCTCAGATGTCAGTTGCCGGCACAGACCTTTGCACCTGGTCTACCAGCTAGAAATCCCACACCCTTCTCATTAGGTTTGATTATTTGCTAGAGGGGTTCACAGAAGTCATGGGACACTTGACTCACTTGACCCATTCATTATTAAGGACATTTCAAAGCGCCACAAAGAAAAGCTGCATGGGCAACTTGTGGGAGAAGGGGAACAAGATCTCCACACCTTCACCAGGAACCCCATGAGTTCAGCTATGAGGGAGCGCATTTGAACTCTGTCCCTTTGGGTCTTCTCCGCCCCCTCCCCCAGGTTTGGATCTTTATGGAAGCTTCATCATATAGCATGATTGATGAAACCATTAACCACTAGTGATTAACTCAACCTCCACTCCCTCTCCTCCTTGGAGGTAGGGGAGGGCACTGAAAGTTCCAACCTACTAGACACATGGTTGTCCTGGCCACCAGCCCCCACCCATTCTGAGGCCATCCAGGAGTCCACCAAGAGCTGCCTCATTGGAACATACATGATCCTATCACCCAGGAAATTCTAAGGGGTTTAAGAACCAGAAACCAGGGTCAGCTACAAAGCAATCTGGATCTCTGTGCCAGGGACTTAGGGGAAGAGATTAATAGGTATATTTCTTACTGTTTCACAGATAGTATTATGATACCTGCTAATTGTTCTGGTTTTTGTTGGTACTGACGTTTGAACTCAGGGCCTCATGCTTGGTAGGCAGGCACTCTACCACTTGAGCCACGCCTGACAGACTAAATTTTTTAGCTCACAAAGAGCTCATATGAATGTAGACATAAACAATCCCAAAATACCAGGGGCATCTCGGCTACACCAGAGGCAGAGCTAGGAGGATCAATGTCTAAGGAGAGCAGGAGCAAAAGCACAAGCTCTTACCCAACAAAAATAACTAAAGCAAAAACAAGACTGGGGGAGTGGCTCAAGCAGTAGAGTGTGTGAGCTCTGAGTTCAAACCCCACACTGCCAAGAAAAAAATATTAACAGGGCAAATAAGATAATTAGGGAAATGGAGAGACAAATACTCTTAGAAAATAAACGTGTGATTTTAAAACAAAACTTTTTGTGGGCCTTTAATCGTGAGAATTTATACTCGCTGCCTCTTTTCCCCAGAGCTTCCTGTCTTACTTGGAGGATTGCCTGGCATCTCTTTAATTGCCTGGTACTGTTGCCATTTTTACAGTCTGGTTAGTTTAATTAATTGAAACCTTGAGTTAATGAGCTGCCTGTACCACTTTGACCCTCATTAGAATTGATCCCTTCTTTCTGAGGAGAGTGGCTCCTTACCAGTGAACTCTGGCGATCTTTGTGTGTTATTATTCACAGGTGACCTGAGAGAAATGACTGGCTCATTACAGACAGTTGACAAAAACTGAAGCGCCAGTCCCTAGCTGATGCTGACAGTGATGTCATCTTCCAACTTGAAGGGCAGCCCGATCAGTCTGGGAGAGATTTTTTTCCTCAATGTACACTTCCAATTATTTTTTTCTTTTGCAGTGCTGGGGATGGAATCCAGGCCCTTGCCCATGCTAGGCAAGCCCTCTCCAACTGAGCTACATCCTCAACCCTTTTGGTCACCACTATCTTTGCCTGGGCTGGCCTCAAACTGGAAGTCCTCCTGCCTCAGAGGAGAAGCTGGGATTACAGGCACGTACTACTACACTTCCAATTTCTTTTTTCTTTTTTTTTTTTTGGTTTACACTGAGGTTCTCTTTATTTTTTTACAACTACCCACAACAGCAGCAATGCCCTGGGGTATCTCTCAAGCAAGATTCTACCTCTGGAAACTCGTTCCTATTTCTGAATCAACCTAATATACTTGTCCCTGGATGTTTCATCAACTCCCCAGGTCAACAATGCCCTTCCAAGGATTCCCTGGGTCCCCCATAGGAAGGACCTACACCCCAGGTTTCTGTTCCTGCATGCCCAGAAGTAAGTTTTCAATGTTTGCACTAACTAGATAGAGCTACACCCATGACACTGATTCGGACCTGGTTCTTAACAGTGCCTGGTTGCTACAGAGAGGACAAGGAATTGTACCACACTGTCCTGGGATGTTTTAACGGCTTCACTAGCAGTGCAAGCTCATCCCAAAGCTGGCCCAGTCTCCTCCGGTAGTGGGCACCATGGACACCATAAGACCTCCAGGGGGGTGGAGTACATCTCTAGGCTTAAGTGGCCCAGCTGGATAGTGTGGCAGAGTAGCTTCTCCAGGACAGCCACAGACATGGGGTTCCTTAAGTAGTTGAACGTGGTGAGCTGGTAGCAGCGGCTTAGGGCAGGCAGGAGGGCAGTGAGCTGGAGGTCCCTTATCCCACAGTCTTCCAAGTCCAGGGTCTTCAGGGTGTCTGAGACTCTCTCTAGCAGAACTCGGAGGGGCTCAGGGCTGAAACGGGTCAAGGTGACACCACTCAGGTTCAGATGTTTTAGCTGGCGGATGCTTGGGCACTGGGACAGATGCTTCAAGTCTGATTCTGCAAGCTGACAGTCAGTCATTGAGAGGGCTTCCAAGGGAGTCCTCAGGCACCTGAGCACCTGGTCCAGGTGGTCTTCCAGGAAGGAGACAGAGTCCAGGGAAAGCTCCTGCAAGCAGGCCAGGTTGAGAAACTGAGAGGTAAATTGCACAACCAGCTGCTTCTGCTCCTCTGGGGAGATGGAAGCAGGCACCTTGATGTGAGAGAGAAGTAGTTTGAGGAGATTTCTCATCCGGCCCAGGTAAGAAGCAAAGGCAGCTAGTGTGGACAGCTGCCAGGTGCAATTCACTTGCACTTCCTGCATCCAGTCAAGCTGCAACACTTCCAGAACCTTCCTGATGCTTTGGATGTGAACTGTTGAAATCTTCAACTTCCTACAGCCCAGCTGTAATAAACCTTTTCTTTCCTGGACCCACAGAAGGAGATAGGAGAGAAAGGCATCCAGGATGCTTTGCTTGAGGCACACATCTACTAACACCGTCAAGGGCTTTCTCTCCATCCTGGGACCATTCTGCTCTGTTGGCCGCTTTTTCTTCTTACTGTTGGCCTCTGTTGAGCAGGCATTGGCCATGTTTCCAGACCATATCTTCCAGAACTTCAGATGCACGTTGTGCAAATCTAACACTTGTAATTTCCACCTCCTGGGTCGAACCTGCTGACCAAGTAGCATATCGAGGCCATCCAGGGCAACCTGTAAGGTCACCAGGTCTCTTGTCTTCATCAGGGCCCCCAGGGGGAGGCAGGGGAAGGGCCAGGCCTGCACCATGGCCTTCACGATCCCAGTGCATCTCCTGGTGAAAGCCTCCATGAAGAGAGGAGGGAAGAGCTCCATGGGCAGTTTCTCCAGAGCAGAGATGGCCAGGACCTCGTTCCTCAGCAGGCTCTGCCCTGCCAGCTGCAGGAGGGTGGGTGGGGCCTTCATGCTCATTCTGAAGGATCACAGTTGGTCGGGCTGGACGGCGAGGGAGAAATGGAGGAGGGAGCCCACCCCAAAGCCCACCATTCTGAGTCCTGCTGGGATCTCTCCAATTTCTTTAATTTAAAATACAAAGCTTACACATGGTATGCTTTGATGAGTACAAAATTTTGTGATTGGGCCTACCTTCAAGAAAATAATATCCTGCTGGGCGCCGGTGGCTCATGCCTATACTCCTAGGTGCTCAGGAGACAGATTTGAAGCCAGCCAGGCAAAAAAAGTTTGCAAGACCCTATCTTGAAAATATCTACAAAAAGGGCTGGTGGAATGGCTCAAGGCATAGGCCCTGAGTTCAAACTCTAGTACCAAAAACAAGAAAAAGGGAAAGAAAGAAAATAATATCCTGCACTTGGGAGATGAAAACAGGATGACTGCGAGTTCGAAGTTAGCCTGGGTTACATAGTGAGACCCTGTCTCAAAATTATATATATAATATAAAATAATAATTATATATGTATAATATATATATATATATTTGTATATAAAACGAGAGAAAGAGAGAGAGCAGGAGAAAGAAAAGATAAAATATTTTACTTTAAATAAAATTTGTTTTTGAAACAGGCCTTCCTTATGCAGCCCTGATTGGCTTTGAACTCATTATATGTCCCAAGTTTGCCTCAACCTCCCAAGTGTTGAGATTACAGGTGTGCTCCACCACCCTGGGCTTCTAATGAGCATTTTTAATATAATAATTTTAGAAGATAATAACCATATCATTTACTATAAATCAATGATTCCTAGATTTGGGGGTTTTATGTATCTGCTGCCTCTTCCTGGAGGAAGTCCCTGCATCCTCACTGTGTTGAAGATGACAGAGGCCATGAACTTATTTTTCTAAAGAAATGTAGATGGCAGTGTGTGATGTGGTCTCTTGGAGCAGAAGTTTTGGGAGACTGCTTTCTATGTCTGCTTTTTTCCTCTGTCAAGAAGCCAGATATAAGGATAAGGACTGTTGTGTCACTGTCTTGGGCAAGGAGCAGAGTCATTTCCAACCTCCCAAACAGTTGAAAATTACAAAAGGGCACCTTCAGAGGTATAGAAACCACCGGAACGTGATTGCAGGGACGCAGCCACTGGTGTCGGTGGCTTACTGGTTTATTACAAGGAAATAGATGAAGGGGTACATAGGACAAGGTAAGTGGGGAGGGGCCAGGAGCTTCCCTGCCCTCTCAGCGCCCCTTACCCTTTAGGAACCTCTGCCATGTGTCATCATCCCAAAGTTCTCAAATGTTTCAATCTTTGTTTGCAAAAATTTTTTTAACCAAATCACCATAAACTATAGATAGCTTCAAAGAAAAAAAAAGTTTTCTTAAATCAGAGCTTCCTTTAGAGACCCACCAGTCCTGGTGGTTAGCATGAAATTTCACACAAAAGAAATTTTATTATACTGAGCTTCAAAGGAAGCTCATCTTACTCACTTCTGCCACCTCCTTCTTCTCCCTGCTGGCTGAATGCATATGAGGCACATGGTAGAGGCTTATTAAAACTTCAAGTAGCAGCTGAGCATGGTAGTATATACCTGTAAGTCCAGCACTTGGGAGAATAAAGCCAGCCTGGGTTATATAGTGAGACCCTATCTCAAAACAAACAGACAAGCAGATGACTTCAAGTAAAAAAGAGCAAGAAAAGAGAAAGTGAGTTTTGGATGGGCAATGGTAACATAATTCTTCAGTGTTAGTATTTCAGATTTAATTAATCAATATTTGCAATTAAAAAATAGGTAAGTGGTAAACAAAGATAAAACAGCTTTCCTTGAGTAAATTAAGAACACTGTGGGGCTGGAGGCATGGCTGCCTAGCAAGCTTAAAGCCCTGAGGCACTAAGTTCAAAACCCCAATACTGCCAAAAAAAGCAAAAAACATTCCAGTTTTGTTTGGTTTGATTTGGGTCAGTATTTTCTTGTCACGTAAACAGCAGTCTTTAAAAAACCTGCTTCAAGCAAGAAAGCTTTAGCTCCAGAAGAAGGGATATAGAGGTTAAACAAAGTTATAAATGTAATTTTGCTCAAATTAGACAAGGCCTGCTTGATGCAACCCAACCCAGTAAACCAAAGGCAACCTTGAACCCTCACTAAGTGACAACCGTGCTCACCATGCTCACCCTTCAACACAGTACAGAGGGAAGGGGCCTACAGGCCACTATTTCTTGAGGGCTCTAACCCTGATGTTAAGAAGAGGTGTCCAGTGTGGCTGCTTCAGTAACTCCAGAGTGACTGCAGGCCAAGAACTGCAGGCCCTGTGACACCACAGATTGAAGGCAACATGAGACAGAATGGCCGACTTCCTTCAAAGGCGCGTGCAGAGAGCCTATGATCATTTAAGTGTCGCATAAAATATCTGAGTGCTCACAATGTCCTAGGTTCGAGCCATACCGTAGTGAAAACTGCAGACAAGGCTCCTGTTCTGAAAGTCCAGTGGGAAGGTTTTAACCCAACCGTGTGCAGTTTTGAGTAAACCATTGCTGAGTATTAGTGTGCCTGACTCTATGTAGCCCTGTTTTGTTAATTCTCTGTGAAAAAGAACAGCGTAAGAGCAGAAAACATGAATGCTGGGTGAGTTTTAGCTGGTTAAATGGATTAGTCTTCCTTTCCTTTTTGGAAGAGGGGTGTCTCTTGCCTAGCAAGACTGAATGCCGAGTGCTACAGATAAAAGCTACACGTGTGCCACTAACTGCTTTGTCTCTGTATTTTTCCATTTGTAGAATGTGTACTTATTTGCATTTTGAAAATATAAGTTCTTTTAACTATTATTTCTACCTTTTGGATCTCAGTATGGTTCTGAGCTGGGAATTGGTGTGTTTTCTCTGTAGAGGGATGGAGAGGAAATATTTTAGCCTTTGCAGGACACGGGATCTGTCACACCCAACTGCCCAACTCTGCTGTGTGTTGCAAGAGCAGCCAAAAATCTTGCTGAAGAGAAAGGTGAAGCTTGCCATGGGCTCTGAAATTTGCATTTTGTCTACTTTTCATATGCCACAAAATATTTTTTTGATGTTTTATAACCAGGTAAAAATAGAAAATCCACTGTTATGAAGCAGGTTGGATTTGGCCATGATCCATAGTTTGTCGTTGCAAAGGGCAGGTTAGTTCAGTCGGGCAGAGCTGGTGATGAGGCCACCACTGCAGATTAGTCATGCCAGTGCCATCTTGCATGGGGGAACCTGCTGCATTCTCACCTCAGACATGGCCCAGGACTTGACAAGGGCCATTAGTTGTCACCAAGGAGAAAAAAAAAAAAAGAAAAAAAACAAAAAAAAAACAGTGAAAGATGCACTAATTTATTGATGTTATTCACACTCTTTTTGTAGTCACTTGTAAGTTTTTGCCATTAGTTGTCACCAAGGAGAAAAAAAAAAAAAGAAAAAAAACAGTGAAAGATTAGGCCCATATCTTGAGCCACTCCACCAGCCCCTTTTGTGTTAGGTATTTTCGAGATAGGTTCTCAAGAGCTAGTTACCCAAGCTGGCTCTGAACTGCCATCTTCCTGATCTCTGCCTCCTGAGTAGATAGGATTACAAGCAGGAGCCACTGGCACCTGGCTCTGTGGATTTTTATAGTTGTTATGTAGGAAAACTGACTTGAGATTTCTCTGAGAAGTCAAACAGCTGTGCTTGTGCATATTTAATTTTAATCAAACTCTGTTTTTTTTTTTACAATGTTTGGGTCATTTCTCCCCCCTAATTTTAATCAAACTCTTTGTTGACTAAACTCTTTCTTGATTTTTTCATTTTGTGAATGCTCTAATAATTCCAAAGGGCTTATCCTTGACTGGGGAAGAAAAGGGGTACTTTTGTTTTCTGTCTGGGTGCTTTCACTAAGCACTGCAGATAGCTCTGTGTCCTTTTGTGTGTGACAAGGCTTCAGCTTTCCTGACCTAGATTCTTGACCTCTTTCACACATCTTAATCCTCTGCTTTACAAATGGCTTGGTTTTTGAAGTGAAGCAACTGGCCTTGAGGCTTTGTGAATTGTATAGAGGCACTGGGCCAACATCTGTGAACAAAGTCACTCAGTGTCAGTCACCATTGTAAACCAGCATTGCCTGGCATAAATGACTTCTTATTTAGATAAGGTTGTTTCTCAAGTTCATATGGACCTCCCTGCCTCAAGATCTTCCTGCTTCAACCTTCTGAATAGCTGGGACTGACTTTTCCATGACAGATAGAGATAGGTTGGAGGCTTATCCAGTGAAGCATATGGAATATTCCTGAACTTGATGTTACGGATGGAATTAAGGTTTGAAGTGACTCTTGCTGAATTTTCTGCATGTGCATTTGTAATGAAAAGTTTGTGCAGAAAACCTGGGTTAAATCCCATCCTGCTCAAGTCTCAAACTTAAAATCACTCTGGATGTTCTCTGTCTCATACCCCAATTCCATCAAAGAACTCTGTCACTTCTACCTTCCAAATGTGTCCAGAATCAGATCCCTTCCTACTTCTTGCAATACCACAACCTTGACACAAGCTGAAACTGTCTCCCACAAGAATGACACCAAACTGTCTTCTAACTTCTTCTCTTCTTCTTTAGTCCATTCTCAACCCATCAGCCAAAATACTCCAGAAAAACCATAAGTCAGCCAGCCAGGGTAGTACATGCCTGTAATCCCAGTACTTGGTTAAGGCAAGAAGATGGAGAGTTTGAGGCCAGCGTGGGCTATATAGGGGGGAAAAAAAAGTCTCTTCTTCCTCATCATCTCTTCCCCATATCCTGTTTTATTTTCATCCATAGCACATATCACCATAGTTTATTTATTACCTGTTTTCTATCACCAGGATATAAACTATGTAAGATTAAGAGTGTAGGATAATGCTTGCACATAGAAAGTCTCAAATACCAGATGCCAAAGGCTCATGCCTCTAATCCTAGCTAATTTGGATGCTCAAGGCCAGCCTGGGCAAGTAGTTTGAGAGACCCCATCTCCAAAATAACCTAGAGCAAAATGGTCTGGAGGTGT